GAGGAGGAGGAGGAGGAGGAGGAGCAGGAGGGCTGCTGCGCAGATCTCCTCAGACTCTGACCCAGTTTGGTCTTTGTTCTGTGGGAGGGGGAGGGAACAGTCTGCACCCCCATCCCAACAAAACCAGAACCTCAGATCCTCCAAATATTCAAATAAGACCAGGAAGACCTGGAACATGAGAACAGAACCAGAACCAGTCCTGGGTACATGTACAGAACCCTGTTAGAACCAGAACCAGTCCTGGGTACATGTACAGAACTCTGTTAGAACCAGAACCAGTCCTGGGTACATGTACAGAACTCTGTCAGGACCAGAACCAGTCCTGGGTACATGTACAGAACCCTGTTAGAACCAGAACCAGTCCTGGGTACATGTACAGAACTCTGTCAGGACCAGAACCAGTCCTGGGTACATGTACAGAACTCTGTCAGGACCAGAACCAGTCCTGGGTACATGTACAGAACTCTGTTAGTGTCAGAAAATATTGATTTTATTATTTTAAGAGTTTAAAGGCACATATGTGTAAAATAAAAACATGAAAATAAAAAATCGATTACAGCCCAAATCATATTTTAAAACATTAAAATATTGTAACGAGCAGTTTTTGTTTGTTTCACATTTTATAAATCACAAATAAAACTAGACATGGGTTTTTACGATATAAAAACAAGTGTGCATTGCCATGTAGCATGTCATTGCAGCATTGGACTTGCAGAATGAAATGGGACCAAGTTCAAATGTATTTTCTAAACCAGCTTGTACCTGTCATGTCAGCAGGTGTTTGTAATMAYGGTAATTGTGTGACAATATGAAGTTTGAAGAGATTTGTTGTTAAAGTTGCTTTAGCTGGGTTCTGAACCCTGATCTCCCACATGAAAGTCCATGACATGGACCATTAGACCAATGGAGCTGTGGCAGAAGGTGGTGGCAGGGGTTTGTATGTGTGCAGAAAGAGGCCACATTGTCAATACAATTATTGACACTAAACTGCATAATATTACAACAATAGAGCAATATTAAGATAATGATATAGTAAAACATCAAAATGGAATCATATTAGTATTGTAAACACTGAACTATTGAGATTAAATATTATAAAACTATGGTGCAGTACCAAGTTGAGTACAGCTGGGGGCAGTATTGGACCAATACAAGGCTCCATTGACTGACATTATAATTTATTAAACATTAATATTTCAAAAACTATAAGTTGTACAGGCACCAAAAGGCATAGCCATCATTTGGCACAGGAGCTTTACAGATATAAATTACAATGGCAGCTCTAGGACAAAGTATGCAGGAGGAGAAGCATGGTAAAGTTGAGATGACTTGGATGGAAACGAATCACAATAGTGTGTATTGGTAATGCAAACTGATGAACCTATAACTCAAAACTATAGTAAAATTTAACAAACCCATACTGTCAATATAAATAAATACAAACAGGAAAAAGAGCGTTTAAAATAAAAACAGATGACAGATCTATAAACTGAGTACAGAAAACTAAACTTGAATCTAAATGTTCTCATTTCATTTTATAATTATGATTCAGTCCAAACTGTTGGTTTGTTTTTTGTTAAAGTCCATTTTAAAGTCACAATGTGAGGTCCTACATAAGGTTCAGAGTTAACGACCAAATGATTTAAAACAGTTATCCTACATCTGTTCACAACACAACATGTTCTGCTCAGTGTCTGCTTGTAGTTTATTTTACCTGGACCAATCAGAGAACAGAACATCAATGTTCTGTGCAGTGTCTGCTTGTAGTTTATTTTACCTGGACCAATCAGAGAACAGAAGGAGGAGTTTTTAATGACGTCGATGTTCTGCTCAGTGTCTGCTAGTTATTTTAGCATACAGCAGTGGAGGAAGTGAATGAAGCCAGTCTGTGTTGATAAGACTTCAAATTAAATAAATTATCTGACAAAGCAGCAGCTCTCATTTACAGTCGTCTGGTTCACACACACACACACACACACACACACACACACACACACACACACACACA